CTAGTCTAATCTAATCCTAGTCTAGTCTACTATAATCCTATAGATGAACCAACAATTCTATAGCAATGTATGTGATCTAACCGAACCTAACCTAATCTAATTTAATCGGTTTGCCGTATCTAGTCTAATCTATATCTATCTATAAATCTGTCTATGTCTATTTCTCTCCTCTCCATGGCCTCTGTCTCTCTCCCTGTCTCTCTCCCTGTCGATCTGTTTGTCTGTCTGTTTGTCTGTCTGTCTGTCTGTCTATCGATCTGTCTGTCTATTTGTCTATCGTCTATCTTTCTGCTTGTCTAATCTATTTATCTATGTATTTTGTACCCATGTGTCTATCCATTTGTCTATTTGGCTATCTACCTGTCTATCTATCTATCTATCTATCTATCTATCTACCTGTCTATCTATGTGCTGAACTGTGTGTCTGTCTGTTCGTCTCTCTGTCCGTCAATCTGCCTATTTGTCTAGCCTTTCTTTCCTGTCTCTCTGCCTGTCTATTTGTCTAGTTACCTCGAGTCGTGCTCCAAAGCGCTGCGCCTGTCACGACCCTCGATGCGCGACCCTACACAGTTCTGCTCCCAAGTGCCGCGCCTAGAAAGAGATTCAATGCGTGACCCACAAAAGGTACTGCGCCTGCCACGAATCGGCGCCCCATGCTGCAAAGCATTGCGCCGGCCAAGAGATCTGCGCCTGAACCCTCCAACGAACTGTGCCTTCCGCGGAGCGCGCCACCGCAATGCCACGAAAATTGCTCAAAGCGCTCTGCAGTGCAGCGCCCGTCGCGCAAAGTGAGCTTGCCAGGAACCCAACAAGAAACCAAAGCATCGCGAAATCCAGCGTGTGTCCGAAATTAGTACAAGACTGTAGCACCAGAATGCTTGCGACCGATTTTGACAACCTCAGCTTGCCAGAGCCAGGGCCAGCCCATGGCATGACAGGAGCACCGCCCCCGCGCAGCTAAACAACCTTCGACGTCGAACAAGCTACGATTCACGCACGTGCGCAACGAAACAACCTTTTTCAAGTCATGCTCTGAGTCTTCCTCAACAGTACGGCAGCTCTTGCATCCTACGACTTGCTCGAACACTTGCAGAGGTTTGCGAACGCTTGCGAACGCTTGCGAACGCTTGCGGACGCAGCGACGCATCTGGCGAACGCATGCTGGCCCCTAGAGTCCTTTCTATATAACGGGAGCCCTCTTGCAACGCATTCGGGGAAAAAACACTCATCATCCCCTGGTCATTAGTTGGCCTGGTGCCCATGGGGATGGGCCGAGGCCTGTCAGCGTGCCTGGTGCTGCAGCTTATCCAGGCCTGGTTGGTAAAGTAGCGTCGCACAATGCAATGTGACGTCATGTGACGTGCGTGATGTGATGGATTGTACTGTAATGCATGTATGCATGCGTTTGTGTATGCGCGCATATCTGCACGCGTGTGTGTGTATGTAGTTTGTGTGCGTATCTGTGCATATGCACGTGCATGTGCCACCCACGGCTGTACTGACACTGACTGTAGTGTTGATCATGTTTTGATTGGAGTTGACAGCCGGAAGAACAGTGCTGACGGCAAAGAGTTGCTTGCTCGCAGGTCAATTTGGCCATGAGCCTAGCTTTTGCAGCACTGCTGGCAAATCTTCTGCCTGCGTTGGAGGGCCCACCTGCCAGTCAGATGTGTTTGTTCCCCAACAGCTGAAAGCTTCGGGGTCTCAGCCCAGATAAGGTTCCGGGGTGGTCCGGGGCGGCCCTGAGGTAAGGTTCCACCAAGGTTCCACCAGGGTTCCACCAGGGTTCCACGAGGGTTCCACGAGGTTCTGCGAGGGCTGCGGGGTGGTGCAAGCACTAAAAAAGAGCACCGCATGCTGTTGGGGATATCACCTGAGCTTATTGGTGGAAGGGGGGGTGCTTATTACTCAAGTGGCGTTTGCCTCAGACATGGCCAAGCGCATTGCTGTGCTTCCAATAGGGCTATACCTTATTTCCTTGCCGAAGCTGAACTCGCTGTTCAAAATTATTTGTTTTTTTTCTCCGAGGTGACGCTTTCCACCAAGAACTCGGCTTGCCTAATTGTGGCAGCCGCGGGCTTGCACACCGCCGGGTACCTGCCGCAGGCTCAGGTGCCAGGCGCGGGGCGAGCATAGCGTGCCATAGTCACAGGCGGCCTACTTGGCGTTAGTGGGGTTGGTGGACCATTCGAGCCACAAATGCAAATGCACATGTCCGGGTCCAATTTCAATTTGAATTCACAGTTTCTTTCATAGGTCCTAATGTTTGCTACCGACAAGCTCCATAGTCGCTCGAGAAGTCGCGATGGCTGGACGCACCTTGCATGCCCTGTAACCTGTCAGCAATTTTATTGGAATCCAAGATTTGGAGCCGGGAAGCTTAAAGCTGCAGGTAATCATGTTGAGGGGGAAAAAAGGAACACGTTTTGGAGGTTCCTTCATTTTGAGACCCCCATCTGCTGAAGCTTTCACAGCGCTTGGGATGCGGGCCAGGGGGGAGCCAGCTCTAAGGCTGGTGCTTGAGTTCGTTGTGCCCTGGCTTGGCCGGGCTCATCACGAGCCTGCTGCGCAACGTTACGAACAGGCGCGCTTCACTCTTAGGCATTTTTTTAAAAATGTGTTTTGACCCCGGATTCATCCACCTGATGGATCAATATGGTGTTCCCCAAGGTGAAGGGGCCCCCCAAGCCACCAGTGGCTGAGAACTGACTCAACATGTGGACTCCTTGAATCTGATGAATGCCTTGGGCAGCTCACGCCTTCCTTGTCGCCGCGCAGGTGGCAAAGGTCTTTCCCGGAAATTGGTTCAACACGAACCCCATGCACTGCCTGCGGTCCAGGCAGGTGCTCTCACTGAGAAATGCACGAACACGCCGAATGCTAGGTACGTGCATCAGCACAAGCCCCCCTGCATCTTTTACCAGATTGGCAAGGACTCCAACTCTTTGCGAACTTGCTGCCCGCACACTTACCGTATTACCTGGGCTTGTTTGTCTCAAACGCGGCTTTGGACCTGATCGCCGTTTGGGATCCGCAAAGGCACCAGCGAGAGGAAATTGCGCTGTGCTCTCAGGAGCATCTTCTCGAGCCAAATCCCAAGCTTGGCCTCTTCTACAGTGCCCCCCAGTGGAACAACGCGCTGGCCTCAAGCTGCGCCGCAGCGTCGCATGGGAAAGAGTGGATGCGATCCTGAGATGCTTGAGTTGTGGGTGTAAGCCTTCCGGATCTTCAAATCAATCCTTGGTTGCACTCCTGGGCCGTTTGAAAAACAGGGCCTTGAAGCTGATCGCACAGGAGCAGACGTCGACCATGGTGGAGCTGTCGCGGCGAGAGCCCCAGAAACTGGCCCGCGCGATATCTCGCAGCTCATTGGGCACGGAGGCTCGCCCGGCAGTCCTTGGGCGGAGCATTGGCAGTGAACTCAGTCGGCGCCACGTGTTTCACTGGGCGTCTCATGTGCCCAAGGTATCCCAGGCTGCGATTCATTTGGTGCAGGACGTCAGCTCTTCATGAGCACAGCTGCAGCTGCCCATGAAAGATCATGTGTGGCTCACAGGGTGGACAAGAGGCGAGCACATGTAAACCTGAAAGCCGTTCTCTTCGTTCTCTTCAGGTGACAAACGAAGGTTCCCATAAGTGTACCAACGGCTTCCGCAATATTGACATAGCGGCTCGCCAGCGGATGCCGCATGCCGCCAAAGCTGGTGTTGAAACGAGACCCTGGCATTACATTAGAGACGCTTCACGAAGACGACCATGTGCTGGCCATCTCAAAGCCATTCGGTGTTCTGGCTCACCCTTCCCCAGGATTTTGGCACAAGGGCACCATGGCGCACGCGTTGGTTGAGAGAGTGCCTGAGGAGATGCTACAGGAAAGAGGAAATCACAACGAGTGGGACAGCTTCATTCCGCGTTGCATTGTGCACCGGTTGGATGCTGGAACCACAGGCGTCATGGTAATTGCCAAGAGCCCTTTGGCAGAGAAGGGGTTGACAGCCCAGCTGCGAGCCGCCGACATGCTGTGGGGCCATAGCTCCGGCAAGAAGGTGTATGTTGCAGTGCTGTTGGGGCACCCTGGAGGTTCACAGTCCTGCATCACGGCTCTCGGCAAGATTGGCCGAAACCCTCAAAATCCAAAGGTCTGGGCTGTCACAGCGGATGGCAAGCCCGCGAAGACGGTCTTTCGGGTCCATGCCTTCAGCAAGAAGCATGGGCTGTCACTGGTCACGGCAGAAATCTTTACAGGGCGCACGCATCAGATTCGGGTGCATGCTGCTCACTTGGGGTCCCCAGTTGCCAACGACCATCTCTACACCCAGAAACGATTCGAACTTCCGTCGCTTGGGCGGCTGCCGGAGCGCCGGCAGCTGCTACATGCCTGGCTGCTCGATTTGGAGCACCCGGACACTCAAAGGCGCATCCTGCTGCGGGCTGCCCTGCCACCGGACATGGCCGGTGTAGTCCAGAGAGTGTGGCCGGAGCTGTCGCTGGATCCAGCAGCGTGGCCTGGGATGCTCGCCAGGTTCCAGAGCCAGCAGAGCGTTCAGAGGCTTGGCGCTGACTGCCTTTGTCTTCGGTTGGACTTTGCCTTTGGAATTTCCAACAAATGCCTGGAAGCCATTTAGGTGTGTCTTTTTTGTGGTAACCCCCTTTCTGGTTTAGGGAAACCAAAAGGAGAACTGACGCCGTTTTGGGGGTCCAACCTGAAAAAGGACGAGCCACCAATTTGTTTGGTGTCGTTTGGTTAGGTTGACGGACGTGGAGGTGCGCTGCATGGCCTGGTGGGATGCCTCCCCAGAAGGGCGGGCTTGGCTCCGGGACCGCGATGCCTGGCTGAAGCGCAAGCGGGACGACTGCGACGGCGACCCGAAGCAACGCGGGAAAAACAAGCGGAACCACAGGTGTTTTGCCAAGGTGCCAGTTGTTGGGTGGGGGCGGGTTGGCCGTAAGACATGCAAGCGAATGAGGTGCCACTGACATCCAGCTTATCTTGTTTGGCAGGATGCATGTTCGCCCGCGTCTGGGAGCAGGATCGTGCGTCGGCAGGCTGCGCTCCGTCAGAGCATTCTGCTTGGCACGTGCCAGGAATCCGAGCCTGAGCCTTGGACACGGGAACTGCGGGAACCTTCACCTCTCCCAAAGGCGCGGACCGCCGTTGGACGCATTGGGCAGGCCCGGGCGGACGCGACCCCTCGGTCTTTCCACGGCGGCTGGCCTACAGACTTGCAAGCAGAAAGGTGGAGTTGGCATAGTGGGAAGCCATCAAATCTTTATGGCTACGAGGTGCGAGGAGGGGGAGGAGGAGGCAGATGACCTAAGCACAAAACACCATGCTAGGTCTCAAACTTGTGCTTGCACAGGTGGGCCATGGTCATCTGGTTGAAGCTGGCAGGAGCGAAGGGCCGTTTTTGGTGCCGCATCTTCCTGGAAAACCGGACGCTACTCCAGCTGTTCAAAGCCCATGGTTTTTGTGGGGTGCCCATTCTTGGTTGGTAGTTTCTTTGGTTTCTTCGCATGCACTCTCTCTCGATAATCCGTCGGCCTGGCTTGCAGGGCTTCGGAGTCCAGTGAGCGGCGTGAGGCTAGTAGAGGCCCGTGGTGGTTTTGCCGGCTTTCACAGGCCATCTCTTGGCGTAGTCCGGCAGAAGTTCAGCTTTGTCTCCCCCAAATCGGCGGTCCTTCGTGTTTCCCTTTAAACCACCCAAAGTGGCACCCTCCAAAAACACTCCATAAAAAGAACTGCCTTTTGACCAGCCCTATGCCCAATGTGTGCAGCGGCTCTCAAGGGCCGCAAGCCAAGAGAGGGAGAAGTTGATGGCCCTGTCAAAATAGGGTGAGTCAAGGTGAGGAACCCATTTGCCATTTGCTTCATGCGCCAGGTGCCGGAAAGCCTCGGAAGAGTGTGGTGACCTTTGCGCAAAGAGCTGAGGGTGCTTTCATGCTGTGACCAACCAGTCGGGGGTGGGCCAGTTTTTTTTTTTTTTTTTTTAAGCATGTTTAAGCAATTGTTGTCGAAGCGATGTCTTTTTTTTGCGGAGGGGAGGGTCTGTTGTAGCACAATGTATACCCAATCCTGGTCGGCAACCCCCTTGCAATTGCCAACAGGGCGGGGCGGTCAACTGTGGCATGGCAGGGGATGGGCCCCACATTCGCCAGACCTTGGCCTTGGGGCATGCCTGACCTGTATGTTGGTGAGTGAAAGCCGCAAGGTTCAGCGTGGATGAGGTGAGCCGGGGAGCATTGATCGAGCTTTGAACTCCCGTCGGGGCACGTGTTCGAGAACAACGCCTCTGAAGATTTCCGGAATTGTTGAAGGATCATCATGCTAGGGAACGAAGGGCAAGTTGTGGTGCTCAGCATTGCCCGGTAATGATGGCCAAGTACATGTCATGAGGATGCAGCCTGCATGCATGCAAATGCGCCTGCGCAGCTCCTGTGTTCAATGCGAAGCTCAGACTGAAGGAGCTCCACTCACCCTTAGATGGTAGCTGTTTGCATTGTACACATTCAGAAGCCGGAAGGTCACATGCTTAATGAGAAAGGGCATCACACCGACGCACCCGCGCACCCACTCACCCACAGCCACCCGTCCACACTCGCACACCTACACCCCCACCCACACATTCACACCTGCACGCAGACCCAAACCCGCAGGCACATCTTCCGTGTTCGAATTGTATTACGCCGTTCCGTCCAGAGTCGCCAAGGAAACAAACCCACGTCAGGCAACCGGGCCGACATCTGAAAACCGGCCGTGCCGTTGGGCATGATGCAGTGCGATGTTGCTCGGGCCCTTGCGCTCTTCTGGCCGGCCTGATGCCATTCAGCGGGACGGAGCAGTTCGTCGTAGATGTTGTGTTTCTGGCGGGCGGAACGATGCAGCTGACAGCCTCCGATGCGGACGAAGTGAAGGATCTCACTTCTCGCCTGGGCTTGGGCTGCTCCGCCAGACTCCTGTTTTGTGGGTCTGAGCTCCCACATGGACGGAGCCTGAAATCTCTGGGAGTTGGCCCCACTCGAGAAGGTTCTCCCTGCATCTACTGCCTTGAAGCGGATGGAAGGTCTGAGACTGGCAAGAGCCACATGCTCACAATCGTGAACCTCTCTGGTGGACATATCCACCTCCCGGCACGGGAGCGGGACACCATTTCTGGCCTGAAGCAGGCGCTTGCCGAGCATTTCTCGGGCGCGCTGCGGCTGCTCTTTCGTGGGGAAGAGCTGCAGGATGCCCTTACTCTGGGCCACTACGGGATCTCAACCGGCAAAACCATCTACCTTCTGGAAGCGACGGGCCCGGCCGTGGCCGACGAGCCCGAGGAGGAAACCCTGGGACCCCAGGTGGAGCGACGAATTGATGGCCTGTGGTATCCTGCTCAGGTGCTAAAAGCTTACAGCGCCGAGGATGGAGGCCAAATTCTGGACATCCGATATTTGGATGATGGCAACGTGGAGCGTGGAGTGGAAATGTCTGAGTGCAGGATTTCCCAGGCCAATTGACAGCGGCCAGACTCTCCAGACGAATCGCGTGAGCAAGTTGCTGCGAGCGTGAGTCAACTCCATCTGAGCTGCACATGTGCTCAGTACCCCGCCAACCATCCACACCTTGAGATGCCCACTTCCAACTTTCAACTGTCAGGTGGCTGCCAAAGTCTTAAAGCCCTTATTTCGCCTGTAGCATGGGTTGGGAAAAGAATGGAAACCGCTGCCATGCATTTGCGTTTTTATCTTGCTTTGTGCGTGAGTCACCCTATCATCATTTTATCATTATTTTATCATCATCTTCTTCTTCTTCACCATCACCATCATCATCGTTGACTGTGGCCAGCTAAGAGTTTGATTGACACCATTGTCAACCTGAATGGGCACGCAGCATGGTACATGCAACCGTTTGAGAGGCCTGAAGAAGTCTGAGTGTCCCTGGACACCCTGAGCGCAACCCAGGGGCTGAAGAGCTTTGCAGCGTTCAGTTCAGCGTGCTGGGTGTCAAGGGCCAGCCGTGCTGGAAGCAGAGGGCCTGGTTTTGCCTGGCCCGCGGTTGCAGAGGGAGGCACCAAAGAAGTGCTCCCGTCCCACCTGCTGACATGGCATTCTCAATCATTGATCGCTGGGTCCATCAGGACGCCGGGTAAAGCGCGCGTTGCAAGCCGCACATTGAAACAAAGTTCGACGCCAGGGAGTTCTGGTCCCATTGACTGACCTTGACTTTGTGACAGCAGCACTGGCTGAGTCTCAGAGCCTCGGGTGCGAGAGATGCATCCCTCGCCATGGATGACTGCCACCGCGAGTTTACCGAAAGCCAGGAATTCCACAGGCTCTATGCCTTCCTGCTGTTCACCACGGGTCTATGGATCTCAGGCAAGCTTTTTGCCCGCGCGGGCATGCCTGCTCTGATCGGAGAGATTGCAGTGGGCATCCTTGCTGGGCCCCACGTGCAAAACGTCGTCCCAGAAGCGGACGCTTTGATTTTGGAGGGCGAGCTGGCACTGGTGCCTCGGCCCGAAGCACCCGTGGCCAAACTTTACATGAGAAAGCGGGGTTAAGGTCGCAGGTCTTTCTGTGTTGGTTGGGAACCTGTTGGGAATGCCCATTGCGCACATGCTTTGCTTGGCAGCCAGGTTCTGCTGATGATAGAAGCAGGCCTCCACGTGGACATGGATGCTTGCTAGCACTGAGGGCAGGCGTGTCCGGAGTGAAGCCGTGACCTAGGAAATGATCAAGATCGTCGGCCTGCGTGCCCTGGTGGTGGGCCTGGTTGGTTCCTTCCTTCCTATGGGCCTAGGCCTTCCAAAGGCCCCTCTCGGACCCTCTAAGCGTAGCCATGCCAGGCATGCTGGTGGTGAGGGGCTCAGTGGCTGACATCGGCGCCCTTCGTGCCGGAGCGCGTAGCGTAGCGCGCCTGCAAACAAGACAGAGGCGCGCACCATCTTGAAGCTGGGGATGATGCCGGCCTTTGCCATTGGAGCCTCCTTTGCGACAATGCCGCTGGGTCAAGACTGTCAGAGGGGCAGGGGACGATGGCTAGCTGAGGTCCACGGGCATCGCGCTGAATGTGATGAAAGCTGGCGGTGTCTTGAACCAACCGACTGGCCAGCTTGTATTGGCAGCTGCCACGGTGAACGCGCCCTCGTTGGCAGTGTGCCGGGTGGACGAGGTCAAATGCTTGTGATGCACAAACTTGGGAGGGCCATTTGGTTGGGCATTCGTCTCTTGTGGCTGGAGATGAGGAATTGATCAACATTGCGTTGATCACAGAGATTGATGCTATTGTTGAGGATGGACCATGGCACACCTACGTGCCATGGCACGTCATTGAACATTGCTGCCTTGCAGTTGGCTTTTATCGTACCGCGTACTCAATGCAGGGCCACGCTTACTGAGGTTGTGCCAATAGTGATGCTCGGCAGCCTTTGCCATGCAGAGCAGGACATGCCGCATCAAAGTGCGCGTCAACCAAGTAATTCCTTCTTTGGGTCCTACATTCTTCAAACAAACGCGCAAATGTGGGATGACTATGCTGAAAAAACAATGCAGCCCCCAATCGGTTTGTCCGATTCGTTGCACTATAGCTCAGGGTGATGTTGGTGCTGGTGCTGTTCATGAGCGTGCTTGCTGTCAAAGTTGTACCTTGCATGCTGGACAAGGCTGGCCTGGGTGGGTCCTGAAGGAAGATGGCTTTTTTTAGTGTTCATTGTGGGCGCTCGGCGAAGTTCTCGCACGCAGCGCGCACGGAGTTTTCTGACCAGGTTGTGCTGCCGAGAGTACGGCCAAGCAATCGGCAGAACGTGGTTCTTGGGTTGCTTCTGGCGCTTTTCTCAGATTCAAGACTCATCGGCCTTACTGCGGAGGCCATGCCAGTAAGGTCGCCACTGTCGTGTACATGCCGGTGTCCCCTGGACAGCAATTAGGTGAATGCATGGAATCAGAGTGAGGGCAAAGACGAAGAGCCGCCCTTTGGACATATCTGAGTCATTTACCTTTGACACCCGCAAGAAATCGATTCGGAGAACTCGACAGGTGTAAGCTCACCGGTTCCTCTGCACTCCTGGGCGCGTTCCTGGCGGGCTTCTGCTTTTGCACAGCCGCACGGCCGGTTGATTTCGGCGATGGACCTGGGGTCCGTTAGGGGAGCGGGGAGCACGGGTGCCTTTGGGTCAGTTCATGCTTTCTTACAGCGCCTGAAGTGCACGACGTCTCGTGACTAAGGATGAAGCCGTCCACAACACCTGGAAGCGGCAAGTGAAGCGTGTAGCCACCTTTTTGATGCGGTACTTCTTCGCTTGCAGCATCGGCTTTACGGTGCCAGTAGAAGACTTTGGGAGCGCCCAAGTTTGGATGAAGGCCGGAGCGCTGCTTATGCGGCTTGCCTCAGTCCAGTAACATTGCGCCTTCCTGATGGCTTGGCCGGCTGGCATGTCCCTACCCATTGACCCGCTTGGGCCAAAGGCAGCACGAACACCTGGCCCCATAACGTGAGGTGCCGGTTTTCCGCATGCCTCTCTGAGCCTCTCACGCCGAGGTGCATTGTCGGAAAGCTTTGCATGGGGGTCTTTGCGATGCCCCTGACGCTGAACGAGTTTCTGACTTTGAGTTTTGCTTGGGGCAGCTGGGGCGAGTTCTCCTTCATCCTGGCCTTGCGTGCCATGCGGGGCAACCTCTTGGAAGGTGCCCTCGGCTGCACATGCGGCAGCCATCACGAGAAAATGGAATGAAGCCTTCGCAGCTAAGGACAGGACTATAGCGCTCTGGTGCTGGCAGCCACGCAGACAGCGTATTTCAGTGTTTTATTTGGGCAGCCCTGGGCAGTTCTTTCAAGCCGAGCTGTAAGAGCCGCATCCAAGGTTCTGATTTCCATTCTGGTTTGCCCCACTGCCTTGCGCTGCGTTCTCTCGCGAAGCGAGCAAGAAGCAAAGAAAAACATCGAGGAAGCAAAGCAGCTTGGCAAAGGCAGGTTGTTGATTATCGGGGGGCTTCTGGATTCTGCAGTTCAGGGCTGGGCAAGACCACATTGCCCAGCTTTAGACGCGTGCCACGCAGAACGGACTAAGGAACGACACGGCATCCTGTGAAGCAGGAATGGTTCACTCAGTTTGAGCCTCACTTTGTGCCCAAGTGCCAAGCCTCTGAGTTTGGCTGAGGTCTATTACTGTTTGCAGACGCGCTCTCATGCACAGTGGGGTCAGCAGGCCGCTCTGTTGTCAGCACTTGCAGAGGCGCGCGAGCTGGTCTTTCGCCAAAGTCGTGCGTGCAAAATCTGCAAAAACGGGCGGCGCCTTTGGCCCCAGGCTGGGTGCAAGATCGTGGACTTCCGATCCTTTCACCCCTTCAGTGATGTTGGAGCGCAGCACATCGTAAATGAGCTGTACTTGAAAGATCTGCGCTTGGAGCTGGAAGCTTGGCATGAACGGCAAGGGCTCGTGCTATGCCAAAGATTCATCCGCTTGAGAGATGGAACGCTCTCCAAGTTCGCTTCTCAAGTCCTGGGTCCCGAGTCCCGTAGGTATTGGAGGAGCAGCTGTTGCCGGAGGACCAGGAGCGGCTGAACCACCGCGGCTTGACAAGAGAGGTCCATCGGCCGATGGCCGTTTTTCCAGTGAGGGAGATAAGGTACGAAGCAAATCCTGCATTTCGTTCTTGCTGCTCTGCGTGAAGCCGAAGTCAAGATCTTGAGTGTCTCGATTGGATATGCTGGTTTGCCATGCATTTCGCTGATTTCTGGAGCCTGTCGGCCGCTGGCAAGGACGGATTTTCACAGTGCCAAGAAAGCGCTTTGCTTTCTTGGATGTGGCTCCAAGTGGCCAGCACATTTTGGCGCGAGCTAAGGATGGCAGCCTGGCGAAGGCACAACGGAACTTATAGAGGAGATGCACCACACAGGCAGGAGTCAGACAGAGGGTCTCAGAGTTGTCAAATGGACTCAAACACGTGCCGCGCGGATTTGTTTGGCTCAAGGTGCTCCGTACTCAACTGAAGTCCCGGTGCGGTCCTTGAGCTGTCTGTCAGCAATTGAGTTGACTGCATGGCGCTTTTTTCATCACTTTGCCCCTGTGGCCCTGCCCTACGGGACGTGCGGTTTGCCAATCCAAGGAAGGGGAGGAAGTCCATTGGAGCAGATAGCGGCGCAGCAAGCCCATGAAGAGATGCAGAGGAATCAGAAGATCATGATGCGCAGGAAGCGCCGTGTGCAGTGCAGCTCACATGTGCTGACATGGCTGCCAGCGCCAGCCTTGTCAGGCACAGTCAGGCCACAATGGCCACAGACCCTTTGGATGACTATTGCTTTCCAGGCGTGATGCATGCCGGCGTGGTTTGAAAGCAGAAGTTTGGCTTGAGCTCCGCAGGCACCCCGAGGGCACATCATGAACTGGATGGCTGGGTGCACACGGAGGCACACGACGCCTTTGATTTGGCACAGCGCTCCCGGCAGAAAGTGAATCCAATTGGCCTTTCCGGCCGCATATCCAAGCTGCTTAACGGTGTGCCCGCATTGCTAGTGAAAGCAACACGACGCATCTCAAACCAAAAATGCAAGTGTCGTTGCGCTGGTAAGCTGGCGAAGGGAGCTGCAACCAAGGTGCTCGAATGGACCCTGCAATTCTGATAGCTCTGATGATGCGGAGACCAAGAGCGCCTCAGTAATTGCTTGGGCACCTTTCACCCGTGATGCATTTTGCTCCTATGTTGGGGGTGGGCCTTCAATTCGTCATAGGTAGTACGGCAGAATCACTTGTTTGATGCATTTGCTTGCGTTTGTCAAGGTTCTGGTGAGAGCTCTTCAACAGGAAGCAGAAGTAGTAGATGTGCAGTCTAGGACAGAGCCTGGCAAAGTGACAGGCACACACTGCAGCGGCGCCGCTGCTAAATCCCCAGTCTTCCCATTTCAGAGCCGGTCCTCCCAGCTCTGAAAAGCCAGAGTCGGCTCTGGCAGCATGGCTTCATGCATTCGCTTGCGCTACATAAGCTGGCCAGAATAATTACCTCTGCAACCCTGGCACTTGCACAAGTTGCATAGTTTGACGAAGCAGGCTTCGCACTGCTTTTTCACCCGCGTGCAACGCTTGCAATGACTCGCCAAGTGGCCTGCGTTGGAGACGCTGCGTGACAAAGCGGAGCCTGACCCCTTCGTTTGCGACGGATGCAGATCCCGCATGGCGCACAGGACCGGAGTTGTGACCTAACAGGGGGCCTCTCGGCTCAAGGCGCTGTTTCACGATGACTCAGCGTCAGGCCCTTCCTCGGTCGCTGGCGCGCATGCGGCCATGCTCACCCTTGCTGTCAGATACAGGCTGTTTGCAGCGGGCCGCCTCACATCCCGCGCAGAGCTTTGCCCCCAAATCTGAGTCCCGGCTTCGGTCCTGGTTGAAGGGTCTTGGGGGCAGGGTCAGAGTTCTTGTCCGGATTTTCGCAAGCTTTTGGAGTTGGTGGCCTTTCTGGGTGTTTTGAAGGGACACCAAAGTGATACCATTTTGGGGGTTCCTCTATTTTGAGACAAGCCCATTTGCCATGTTCGTCTCAGGACTTCGCCAAGACTTTCCCCGAGTTCTCGCGACTGAGGGCCAGGCCCACAGCCGTCCTCCGCCAGAACTCGCGCGTGGAGAGCCGTGCCGCCGAGCTGGAGCGGGCACTGCGCCCGGAGCCGTCTCGAACGGAGCTGGCCAACGTGGACAGCTCCAACCGCGACGAGTGGTTCCAGAAGGCGCCGTCCGTTCTGTTTAACGTCTGTCCACTGTTGAGGATCAGGCTTGGCATGTGTCCTCTTTCTTGAGGATGCGGACAGCATGACTTCGAAGCTGGAATACCTCACCAAGCATGCGCGCCTGGAGCACTTGTCAGAGGAGCACCGGGGAGAGGAGGAGGCCTTAGCCAAGGAGGAGCGAAGGCGGCAAGAGGAGGAGCGAAGGCTGCGCCAGCGCGAGAGGTGGGCGCGAGATCCTCAGCGCAAGGTGCGGGGTTTGCCCCGATTGAATTCAGCACCTGGTAGGCTGGAAACGACCCATGAATCTGCGTTTGTGATCCAAAGGTCAAGATCTGGGCCGACAGATTGGCCAACGTTTGGTGGTACTGCTCGTGAAAGCCACTGGGTTTGGTTCCTTGGGCTCTTTGATTTGGCCACGGGTCTGTGCCGGCTGATCCAGAGCCAGAGTCCAGGTTGCCCAGAAGGTGGAAGACCGGCGCCGGTTTGGATGGGACGGGATCGAGCAGCACATCCCCGTGCAGGAGATTGAGGTGGGCGCATCTAGGAGGAAAGTTGGTATGGTGGACGTGGGCGGCCTGAAAGCCCGCTGCAAGCTGCTGCGGGACAATCTATCTGTTGAGGACCTCCTGCAAAAGCGTAGGCGGGAGGAGAAGGCTCGGCCAGCCAGCGCACCTTGGAAGGAATTCTTTGTGAGCTCTAGGTTGCTGTAAGCATTTGGGAGGTAGTTTGTTGTTCTTTTTTTGCTAGGTGTGTTTTTCAGTTAGGTCTGGTGGGTTGGTTGGTTGGTTGGTTGGGTGGCTGGCTGGCTGGCTGGCTGGCTGGCTCCGGTGTTTTTGTTTCGTTTTTTTTTTTTTTTACTAGGGCTGGTTGGTTGGTTGGTTGGTTGGTTGGTTGGTTGGTTGGTTGGTTGGTTGGTTGGTTGGTTGGTTGGTTGGTTGGTTGGGCTGGCCGCATCCCTGGCATCACCAGCCTCGGCCCTGGAATTGCCTGTTATTTGGCTCTGATTGGGTGGCAGTTGGGAGTTGCTGGGGGCTGGTTTAAGTTACGGGGGCTTGTGGCTGGCTTAGATCTTCAGGAGGGTGGGTCTTGGGGTGGTTTGCAGTTGATTTGGGATGACATCCAGCTGCTGTTGGGCGGTGGTTAGGCTTGACTTTGAGCTTTGAGTGGGTTTGGGTTGGCTTGGAGCTGATTTGTGTTAGGTGTGCTGCTGGTTTAGCAGCGGCTTTAGGGTTCCTTTATGGTGTGGTTAATGAGTTTTGGTCTCGTTTAGGATTGGTTTTGGAGCGCCCGACCACCAAAACTCGCCCACATCTCACTTAGCCACACTCTAAAGCAATCCCAAAGCTGCTGCTAAACCAGCAGCAAACCTAACACAAATCAGCTCCAAGAGGACACGCACACACACGCACACGCCCACTCAAAGTCAAGCCTAGACAGCGCCCAACAGCAGCCTGTATGTGAGCCCTTCGCTTGGCCAAAATCAACCCCAAACCACCCCCCCCAGCAACTCCCAACTGCCACCCAATCAGAGCCAATAATAGGCCCCCCAAGCATCACTGGTTGAGCTGGCGTTGCAAGTCGCAGCACCACCTGCGAACAGACAGCACCTTGCACCGTCAGCAACGTCGCCGAGTCCAGCAGCACCCTTTGCATTACCCGGACAATGCGCCATCCTAAATTGAAATAGATTGGCACCAAGCAATGTGCTGCCAAATGCCAGGCCAAAGGCAAAAGGCTTCGCATACAAATGATGCAGTAGAGGTGTTTGGACTAGGCTGCTCTTTTTGCTAGTCTGTTTTACGCAGGGCTGGCAACATCCCCAGCATCACCGGCATCACTTGGACCTGGGGTTGGGGTTGGGGGGGACTGATGTGCTGATGCATTGCCTGGTCTGATAGCAATCCGGTTTGGCGTGCATGACGCTCCCATCATGGTGCTGAATGTTGATCCTGATGGTGATGATGCTGATGTTGATTTTCATCATGATGGTGACCATGATGATGATTTTGATTTTGATCATGATGATGATGATGATGATGATGCTGATGTTGACGCGATGATGCTGATGATGATGCTGATGCTGATGATGCTGATGCTGACTATGATGATGATGATGCTGCTGATGATGATGATGACGATGCTGATCTTGATCATGATGATGATGATGAGGATGATGATGATGATTTTGATGATGATGGTGCTGATGATGATGATGCTGATGATGATGATGATGATGCTGATGATCATGATGATGGTAATGATGCCGATGTTGATTATTATCATGATGATGATGATGATCTTGATCATGATGATGATGCTGATGATGATGCTGATGATCATGATGATGGTGATGATGCTGATGTTCATTTTTATCATGATGGTGATCATTGATGATGCTGATTTTGATCATGATGATGATGATGACGATGCTGATGATCATGATGATGGTGATGACGATGCTGATGATCATGATGATGGTGATGATGCTGATGTGGATTTTTATCATGATAGGGATCATTGATGATGCTGATTTTGATCATGATGATGATGATGACGATGCTGATCTTGATCATGATGATGGTGATGATGCTGATGTGGATTTTTATGATGATGGTGATCATTGATGATGCTGATTTTGATCATGATGATGATGATGATGATGATGACGATGCTGATCTTGATCATGATGCTGATGATGATGGTGATGATCATGATGATGGTGATGATGCTGATGTTGATTTTATCATGATGGTGATGATTGATGATGCTGATTTTGATCATGATGATGATGATGATGAGGATGATAGTGTTGATGATGGTGATGATAGGGATGATAGTGCTGGGTGCGGCGCTGGCGGCGCGGGTGATGTTGCTGGAGGCAGTGCCAATCAGGGCTGGTGCAAGGGGGAGGCGCAATGCTAAGTGAGCGGCAGTGCAGCTGATGCTGCAGCAGGTGCCACGAGCTGCAAAGTTGGCCGGTGTAGACTGTGCAACTAACGCTGGCGCCAGTGCTGTGGGCATTGCAGCGTTTACATTTGTTGACATTGAGGCAGTTGTGGGCTGTATTAGGTTATATTTGGTCTAGCCACTTGGGACCATCTTGGACGCAATCAGCTGCTCAAGCCAACGAGCAATGGCTCGTCGCCGCAAAGGCGAAGGTCGTGGGGGGCGTGCTCGTGCTCATTTGCATCCTGAGGTGTCTGCACCAGCGGGAGCTCTTTGTTTATAAAGTCATTTTTTTGGCATTTGGGAGGTATTCTAGAGGCGAAGCACAGGATTTAGCAGTGTTGTTATGTGGCTGATTTGGTTTGTGAGTTTTGGCATGTTGAAGTTCAACAGGAACATGGAAGGGAGCGAAGGCAGTAGAAGGTGTTGGGACTGGGAAAGTCATTTATCCAGCAAAGTGCTGAGGAGTATTATGAGCAAGGCGAGGCTGAAAGATATCATCGGGTGCCCAGGGCTGCACGACTCCAGGCAGAGCTCACCCAAGCTGCGGTCTCTTTAGGCGGCCTACCCACGAAGCATGGCCTGATCCTGGACCTGGGTGCAGGCGGTGGCCTCAGTACCCTTACCTTCCAGGCCTTAGCCGGGGGCGCAGCATACGTCCTGGCATTTGACACCAGCGCCCACATGTTCACCACGGAGATTCAGGAGTCATCTCTGTCAGGGATCCGGGTCCAACCCACTGGCGGGTCCGAAGGCGACTGCGACGTGAGCGACGGCTTGGTTTGGGTTGCAAGGCGCAGTGACCGAGTGCTGGCAGACATGTCCCAGCCACTCCCGTTGCGTGCGGGGGTTGCTGATGGTGTCCTTTCTGTGAGCGCGGTGCAATGGCTCATCAACCCACGGACTGCACCTGCTTCCCCTTCAGCAACGCCAATGAAAGTTGAGCCCATTCCGACCAGCATCCCACAGGGCAAGCTCCACACATTATTTGCATCATTGCACAAGGTCACGACGGACCAAGCAAAGTTGGCGATGCAGTTCTATCCCCCCAAGGGTGACCATGATTTCGGCGCCAGGGCGCTGTGCGACGCTGCCCGGGAAGAGTCCTGGGGAGCAGACGTGGTTTTGGACTTCCCGCATCATCCGTCCTCCTTGGCCAAAAAATGGTTTCTTGTGGCAGGCCGGGGAGGCCGCGATTCCGCCAGCCCATGGTGCGCCCTTTGCTGGCCCGTGGTGGCGGCGCGTTGCGCGCTCACGCTGCCAGCAAGTTTGCCTCAGGCCTAAGGGATGGCCTTTTTTCAAGATAAAAAGCTCAGTCCCATTCCATGCCTGCTCTATGTCTTTATACCGGATTACTTGCTTTTCAGGTCTGTGTGCCATCCCCTTTTCGGGGTGGAGTTAAAAGGACAGATCACACCAAAAACTCGGGTTTCCATTCTTCCCATTCGAGACACGCCCGCAGGAGCGCGCCCGGCAACAGCACGCAGAGCTGGCGCTGCGCTTGGTGCGCTGCGGGCGCCGGCTGCGAAGCGAGGAGGAGGCCGAGGTGCAGCGCCGGTTGCTGCAGCAGCTCCACCCCCTGCAGGAGGGAACCAAGGAATCATTGCTCTTTTTGGGCTATGGTTATAACCCAGTTTCATGGTTGCAAATGTTGCAAGTCGTGTGTTTCTTGCTTTTGCAGGTCTTGCAATTCTCTTGGTGATGGGGCAATTTGGGGCACACCCACGGGCCCATAGATGGCACGGAAGCCTGGCAGCCTCTTCCAGCAATGAATGGTGGCTTGCTTGATGAAAGGGTAGCACTGGCGCTCTGTAACACCTGGATGTATTTCATGGATCCCTTTTAGCTTCTCATTTCTCAGGCTGGCTTTGCAGCTTCTTGTGTTCAGCTTGTGGGCCGGCCCAGCAGCTCCCAATGATTCAACGAGGCCCTCGTCCATTTTGCATGGGTAAAACATGTAATCAGGAGGTGTGTCGTGAAAGCCGGGCACCATGGTCATGCGATTCGCGCAGGTGCAACTTGCCAAGGCCCTGGACCGCGCGCTTGAATCCGAAAGCTGCGAAACGCCGAGTTCCAAGCGGGCGAAACGCACCCCGGAAACCAAGACCGAGCTGCGGAGCGTTGTGTCTGCTTCCTTGCCGCAGCTGGTGAGCATCCTCCATACGCCACCCAGTGAGGAATGGCTGAAGCCGCCTTTGCCTCTGGATTCGGCCGGAGTGGCCGATGGGATTTGACGACTGCGAATGCGGCATGTGTTGAAGTATGGCGACAGCTATTGCAAGATGACGATGGGTTTGCTCGCGGCTTTGCATAGCGGCGCACGTGCTTGACATTGAGCTGGTGAGAGAGGAGCTGTGCCTGGCCCTAGACATTTCTGCTGGGTCATCGCAAGCATCTGGCCAGGAGTCATATGATCATTCTCGGAAACCTGCAACAAGGTCAGCAAGTTTGGCAACCCTTCCATGGCCCGGACCACTGCCCTTCGAATCTCTGTGAGACGAGCCCGGCCAGAGAAAAAGACCGGATTCTCGAGTTTGTTTTTGGAATTTGTGGGAATCCCAAAACATATCGTGTTTTTTTTTGGGAATTTCGAGGGTGTTTGGAAGTATTGTATTTATAAACGCGCCGTGTTTATGCTTGTGGGGAAGTGATGCCGAATTTCTCTTCAAAATTGACAACACTTTGTATCGGAGTTTGCTAGCATGGTGATTTGCCTCAGGTAGCTTGGCCAGCATGATGGCCTTGGATAGCTGCAAGCCGCCGGCACAGCTTGAGCCGGCGCATCGGAATGTCTTGTAGGACGGCCAATCCAAAATGGAAAGGCTTCAGTTAGCGGCGACTGGGCGTTGTGCGCAGTTTTCCTGCGCTTGAGCAGTGGCCTCACAACTTCCGCAAAAGTGGCCGGTGGGCCACGATGACCGCTCAGTCAGATTGAGCCAGCAGCTGGCAAAGAGCGCCTGCGGCTTATGGTTTCGCAGTGCGCCAGGCACCAATGAGAGCATGCTGCACGCCTCCAAGAATGCTCATAGCCCATGGCCTTGGTCTCGGCCCGAAGCCTCCAAAGACATTTGCCACGCCATGTGGCCCCCACCTTGACCGAATGCAGCTTGGCTAGGCGCGGGGCTGTTGCCACGCTTGCAAGAAATGCCGCCTGCAGAACAGGCCCATTACATGTGAAGGCCCAAGGAGTTGGCTGCATGTGGCGCATGCATGTGCCAAGGCTCAAGGTGCAATGCGCACCTCAGGTTAACACGGAAGTTTGGCTGAGCTTGGCCAGCGATGCTTCTGAACTCAACCATCAAGTTGGGCAGTCTGGGCTACCTCGAAGGCTTTGACCAGGAGGAGGGCCGTCAATCGACACTGAAGCTGGAGCGACCTGACTCCCGCAACCAAAAGTCTCGGCCCAACCTCAGTCGAAGCCTGTCCAAAGAAAGGGCCTCTTCGCAAGGCAGAGATGGCAGAGGCAGCAGGGATTTTCAGAAGCGGGCTATGTCGAGGGACTCCGACAGAATAGACAAACGGGCTATGTCAAGGGACTCAGACAGAATGGACAAAGGTATGGGCTTACGCCCTTTAGAGTGGACTCATGCGCCACGCAAGGATGTGCGCAAAGAGGGTCCAGTTGTTTATTCTGTGAGCACCCCGGCGAAAGAGGGTCCTCGCGACCATGCATTGCATTTGGTCCGTACTACCCGCATCGAGCCGGCGACTGGATACTCCAAGCGGCCGCCGGTTCCGCCCAAGCGACCTGGAGCCGAGCAAATTGTCGTGACTGAGAAGGACTTGAAGAAGTGCGGCAGCGACCTCAAGAAGTTGCGGGAGTGCAACCTCGCCAAGGCACTGGAGGAGAAACCTGAACCCAGGCCCGAGCGGCCGCCTTCACCCTTGAGGCCCCTGGAACTGTCCTTCAAAAGCAATTTCGCGCAGATGTGCCGCGAGGGCGCGGATTTGCGGGATCCCTGGAAGGATTTGGCCCACCCGGATGAGGGACGAAATCTGACTGTGGAAGATTTGGTGCTCAACCAGGCGGGACCGTCTCTGAGACAATTTGGGCGTATGTGTTTCTTTAAGGGTACCCTTTTTGAAGGGTATTTTCGTCCCCTCCCCTCAATTTGACACGAGTCTCTTTGTTGTTTCAACTTGATTTGCTCGGCTCTCACTGTGTGAGGTGTATGTCAAGGCTTTGTCCCCGCGAAAACTCGAGTTCGACGAGACGAACTCGCCTGAACATGGCCCAAGGAAGTCCAAGATGCGAAGGAGTGCGAGCGCATCGACGAGAGCCGCTGCGCATGAAGACTCGCGTTGCCGATTTAGGTTTTCTTTTTTCTTTTTAGAAACCCCTTGTTGGGGTTGATGCAAAGGGAAGCAAAAAACCGCCAGTTGCAGGGATCCCTGTGACCTCTATTATATTTTAACCGGTTTCAAACTTGTCTGTATCTTGCTCGGATTAGATCCGCTGAGAATCTGCATTGTAGAAGTCAAACCTAGGCCAGCTCTGCTGATGTGGCCCTGCAAGAAGGTCGGGCAGAGGGGAGGGAGAAGCTTGGCTGCAGTTAAACTGGACTTTGTTTCCCTGTTCTAAATGGTGCACATAATTTTGCATCCGAACAGATTGAACGCCTGTGCCGGCAGCTAGCCTCATTGCGTTGCTTACATTCCTTTGTCAAGCTTTGTATCGTGGCATCAACATGGATGATTTGTTTCCTTATCATTCTCTCTCGCGCTTCTTTCCTCAAGTTGCTTTTACACCCTCAAAGATGGCCCGAATCCGATGCGGCTTGATGTGTCTGGGAACCAAGTCCAACAAGCGTAGCAAGCAACCAGCCCCCAGCCCCAGCCCCCAGTGACAGCTTCCTCATCGCCAGGGTGACCATGCGCCCCCGCACCGAGAGCCAGTGGTTCACCAAGCGCGCCGCCAGCCTCGGGCGCGAGCGGGACAGGCGGGGGATTTCGGGCGCGTTCGCTCGGCACGGCTACGTAGAAGCCCCCGTCAGGTTGACGGCCATTTTGTGCTGGTGGGGCTTGTTTTCAACTCCTCCCCCCCGCTCGCAACACTTCCCATGCCTTACCGAAAGATCAACACTGCGGTAAAACTGGAAGCTCCAAAAAACAACCCCCCAAAGGGGCACCCTCAAAAAATCCACCTTCTCAAGCAGTTCTGACACCGCTCGACGTTGCTCCAAGGTTTACCCAAGCGTTGTCCCAACCACAAGGCCCGTTCTATGCCACACTTGCATCGCTTTCCCTGAATGCCAATCCTTGTCCCAAATCAGCCTTCGGGCGAAGGGAAAGGAGGGCGAGATGACCGGCCCCAGGTTCTCCGCAGCAATCCAGCCGGTGGACTTGGACACGCCACGCTCCAGGAAGGAGGATGATGCCTGGCAAAGTGGCAAGGGGTAGGGGGATCTGTGGCCCGTTCCAGCAGCCACTGGCCCAATGCGCCCCAGCCAAGGAGACGCCCCAAGCAAGGCGAGAGGCGCGGACGTTCTTGAAAGGTGCCTCCAGAAGAGGAGAGACGCGAGCCGCCGGGAGATCAGTTGTTCCTGTTGATGAGCTGCATCGGGTGACCCATTGGTTTGAGTGCTGAAGCACTGAACTACCCAGGTCTGGATGACGCTGAACCAGGCAACTGGCGATGCTTGGTTGGCAATCATATTGAAAGAGGTAGGTAAGGTTCAATGGATTTTCGTGTCAGGGAGCAAGTGCAAGCCCATGCACGTCGTGAAATGCTTGCTCTGAGGAAGTGACCCCTTACCAAAAGGAGGCAGGAAACCGCTTGGAGGCTGCCTTCCTATCTGGGCGCAGCAGCGTGCCGTTGGCTGGGCTTGGACCACAGCTGGAGGGCGCCATTGTGACTCGGCTGTTCGTCACCGTCTTGTCCGCAGGAATCGGAACACTTCCCACAGACTTGTGCGAAACCATTCCCAAAAACGTGCGTTGGGGTGTTGGGGCTGTGTGAGACTGAGAGAGGGAGAGAGAGAGAGCGCGAGAGAGAGAGAGAGAGAAAGGGAAGGAGGGAGGGACAGCGCAAGCACGCGCGACTGGCCCAGGTCACTTTTGACAAGGCATCAGAGCAAGATGCCCGAGTGAGATGGGTGGATGGGACCTATTCCGAAGTGAAGCGCTTCCAGGTAACTGCATACAGCTCCTCGGCATGATGTTTTTGTTTTTGTTGGGGGGAGGGGGGGGCTGTTCTTGCACATGTCTGCCCAAATGCGAGAATGCCTTTCTTGGGGCATTTGTCATGCCCCCAAGTGATGCGTTTGTCCACCCGAGCAAAGCGAGGCTATGAGACGACAATACAGCTGGCGGGTTCCTCCGCGGAGGGCTGGCGCTTTGCCAGGAACGAAGCCAGAGTGGAAGAGAGGCCTATGACAAAGTCGGCTGTGAGACACGCAAGGGGCGCCACAAAATCGCCAGAGTTCAGGGGACATCCGCAAATCTATGAAGACAGATTGGGTTCTTGATTCTTGAGCTACAGTTGCTCTTCTTGCATGCCCCTTAAGCCGCTTGAAACTATGACTCGGCTAGAAATGGGATTTCCGCCGCACCCTGGACATGCCATACCCGAGAGGCTGGTGCCACTTTTCGGGACGGAACTTATCGCCCCACCTTCTCCAAAACTGCCACCAGTCACTCGCGACAGCGTCTTGGCTGCCTCATGTTTGAGCAAACCTTGGCCTTGGGCGTGGCGCATGGGCTATGGTAGAGCTGAGGACAGGTGTATTTCATCAACGCCGCTCGGCATCTTTTGAGTTACAAAATGTCACCCTGACCAAGGGCCGTTTGAGTTCGGGACGGGGCAACTGAAGGGTCCAGCAGCCATTGCCCACCCAAGGCAGGCGCAGACTGGGGTGGCTGGGAGTAGATGACATCATCTACCATCTGCGGTGCTGCTTATGTATCCCATCCTTTATCGCTGAGCTGAACCCAGGGCAATTTTCCTGGAGCGCATGCTAAGGTCTGCAGCTCTAGGGTGTTGGTTGCCCCGAAGCGAGCGGCTCCTTACCATGGCCTCTTTGTGTACAGTGTCCCGTGACTGCAGTACTGCAGGACATGGGTGCCATGCCAATGCTAATGCGAGGCGCTTGCCTGTAAGCTGGTTTCACCCTTTGGTCAGCTGCGCCATGACACAGCTCCAGTTGAACCCCTTAGATTTGCAGATCACAGCCCCAATCCTAGAGTCAGGGTGATTCAGCGGATCCTTCAACATTGGGAAGTTGGAAATCGGAGTTTCGAGATTCGAAATGTAAGCTGTGGCGCTATGCTGTCGGCAAAGGTTCCGCATGTGGCCGGAATGCCTTGTTGGTTTAGTCGGTTTGTTTGCATGAGCAGTTTGACCAAGCACTGCCGAGCAGGAAGGTATTGAACACATGAAACTGCCAGCACATCTTGGCAAGCTGCAATCTGTTTTTACTGGGCCTGGGGACTTTCAAGACCCAGGTCGCAGACCCAGCGTTGCGGTGCTTGAGGAAACGAACAAATCGAGCGTCTAGCGCTTTGAGTATGCAGAACCGGTTGGACTGGCCAAGAGTCTTGACGGTGACTGGCCAGGATGGGACAATGTTCTCGGCTGCAGGGAGCCATCACCCTAGAGAGCTGTTGCACTAGTCTTGCTGCCCTAGAGGGAATGTTGGGAGGGGAGGGTTGCTCCTGAGAGCTATGGAGCAACCTTTGAGAGCGCGGAGACGCTCTTGATCCGCCTTTCGCAGCCGTATTCGGCTCGGAGCAGGAGTCAACCCCTTCCTGCACGCTCTATCCATACCTTTAATACTTGAAAAGATCTTTCGCGGTTGAGCACAGATGCCAGCATTGCAGAGATGGCTAGCCGGGAGCTCAGCGTCCTGAAAAGGCATGGCAGATATGTCCTGATTCGGCGCAAGGGCTCCAGACGCACCAGTTGGCTGCTGCTCTGCCCTGCACTCTACTCAGGTTCTTGCTGGCCTAGTATTTTGGGCCAGCAGTGAACCCGTTGACTGTGAGGCTCTTTTGCATGAGCCATAGTCACAACTGTCGGTAGTCCGGCTCGGCTCACTGAGCCAAGGGGTGCACAACCGAGTTTGCTGCGTTGCACCAGCGGCACACGTCATGCTTTGACGAGTGGCAATCAGTGGCGCAGGTCGGCTCCCAGACTTGCGCCGTCCTGCGAGATGCAGGGCCGGGAGAGGCAGAGGGCTGACGCATCACTTGCAGCAGTGTTGCCGCATGCGTCGGTGGTTGCTTGCTCGCTTGCTCGCTTGCTCGCTTGCTCGCTTGCTCGCTTGCTCGCTTGCTCGATTTGTTGGTCGGTTGGTTGGCTTGCTCGCTGCTGGCTGGTTTGTTGTTTGTTTGTTGGTTTGTTTGTTTGTGTTTTTGTTGCGGGGTGGCGGGTAGTAGGTAATTCGGGTCCATCAGGTGGTGCGGCAAATGTTGCTGTGACATTTGAAGGGCTTGCAGCATACGCCAAATTTTGAGCTCACGATAATCTGGGTAGACTATGTTCGTATTCTATTTTGGGCAATACTACTTTAGAATTGGATTTGATCTCCCATGTCTCCCTTTGTCCTAGTATTGCTGAAGCTTCCTTTTGAGATGAGTTTTCATTTTGTTTGGTATTGCTGGAGCTTGGGGGCGTGCGGAGCATTTTTTGCGGGGACAATAGGATGCAGCAACATTAGCAATAAACGCAGCTGCTACCTCAGTTGTACTCCCCCAGTAGGCCACTTTTGGAGGCCTGGGAATGGCCCGGAGTAGTTCAGGGGGGCAAGTATTTTTTCTGGTGGTGGAACAAGTTAAATACAGAACCCCAAGGAAGTTGAACAAGAACTTTCATAGCACTGAAGCTAATTGAGCTAGCTCTGCTTAAGAACGCATGCACTTGCGGGTTGCTTTCAAGAATGGCACTGACGGCGGCGGGTGCGGAGCGAGCTGTCTTGCAGACGAGGCCATTGGCACGGTTGGGCGCACTGCTTCGCAGCCTCCAATGGGCGGGTCTACCGTCAAAAGCTCGTGGTTCTTAAGCCTCTCCTTCTGCTTGAGCCGCTGAGCCGCTATCAAAAGGTGAGCCTTCCGCAGACCTTCGATGGGTCGACCTGCAACAAGTTGCCTGCAGACTTTCGGGGGGCCGGTGGGCCAACATCGTGCGTCTTCTGCCTCTGTTTTTTTTTTGGTGTGCTTTTTGGCTGCGCTCACAGAACGCTCTGCGGATTTTGGAGGGGGGGGGGGTTAGCCTCGAAAGACTCAATGTAGAGACACAGACAAAGATAAAGAGACACAGGCAGAGAAAGAGAAAAGAGAAGGAGAAAGAACACACGAGAGGGAGAGAGAGGGAGCGAGAGGGAAAGAGGAAGTGGAAGAGGAAGAGAGAGAGAAAGAGAAAAAAAAAGAACGGAAAGGGAAAGAGAGGAGAGAAAGAGACAGAGAAAGATAAAGAGGCGAGGGAAGGAAGAAGATGAAGAGAAAGACGAGGAGAAAGGGACAGAACAAAGAGCAAGAGAAAGAGCAAGGGTAGAAGCAGAAAGCGAGAGAGAGAGAGACAGAGACAGAGAAAAGAATAAGAACTACGCTCCAAACTATTTGTTCTTATCTTTTGTAACTTCATTTTCCTTGTCTCTGCCGGGCTTTGCTGCCTTCAAATTGGGCACAGCGGCCCTTGCCCGGGCGGAGGCGGCGGAGCTCCTTCAGACGGAATCCCGGCGCGTTGTGCGCATCGACTCCCAGGCAGTCGGAAACGCGGGCCCAGGCTTCACTTGGGCGTTTCTCAAAGCAGTTGGTCCCGTCTGCTGATACCAACTACGGGAGTCCACCAGAGAAATTCATGAATGTAGATGGGAGCCCCACATTGGTACAGGAAGTGGAGCAGAGGGGCCTGAAACACATGGAGCCTTGTGGCCTCCGGACCCCTGCGAGCTGATGTCAAGAGGAGCGTCGCCTTGCTGGAACCTTGTTTCAGACGATCTTACGCTTGTGTGTCTGTGTGTGTGTGCTGTGTGTTTGCGCGTTTGTTCGCCAGTTCGGTTGTTTCTCTTTGCAAGTTTGTTTGTTGTTTGTCTGCTTGTTCAGTTGTCCGTCCGTCCATCCGTCTGTCCATCCGTCTTGCTTGCATGGTCCGTTGTGTACTGTTTGTCTTCTTGGTTTGGTTTGGTTTGGTTTGGCGTTTTGCTTCTTGTGCTGCATTTTGTTCCTTGTGTGTTCTTGCTTACTGGTTTGTTTTCCGTTTTGTCCTAGTGGTCTGCATTTTGTTCGTCTCGTATTGTTTGTTTGGTGTTTTGCATATGTGTTGTATTGTGTTGCACCGGGTTGTTTGCTTTGTTTATTGTTTTGTTTGAGTGTTTTTTTGTTTTTGTTTCGTGTGGTCTGTATTTTTGTTCGTCTCGTATTGTTTGTTTGGTGTTTTGCATATGTGTTGTATTGTGTTGCACCGGGTTGTTTGCTTTGCTTTGTTTCTGTTTTTGTTTTGTTTGAGTGTTTTTGTTTTTTGTTTCGTGTGGTCTGTATGCTTCTTTGTTTTGTGTTGTCTGTTCGCTTCGTATTCCCCCCCAATTGGATGGCTCCATTGCAACCAACGGCCTCGAATCAGAGACACAAAGCAACCGAGCAAGCGAGCAAACAAGGCAACACAGAAAGATGGAAACAAACAGACATAGAAACCAACAAACAAGCAAACAAGTAAGCAAACAAACAAACAAGCAAACAAACAAACAAGCAAACAAACAAGGAAACAAACAAACAAGCAAGCAATCACGCAAACAAACAAACAACCAAACAAACAAGCACAAACAACAAACACGCAAACAAACAACAAATGAATACATAAGCAAACAAGCACACACAAAAAGGACCAACATGAATAAGCATACACACGTGCAAACACGCAAGCAAAACAGACGTGAGACCATGTGACGCCCAAAATGAATATAAGCCCTAAGTCGTCAGCCTTCGTCGGCCCCGTCTTCCATTGATTCTGCACTAGCCTTGGGCTTGTCAGGGCAGCTCCCGGATGGAGGAGGAGAACCCAAAGGGCCTTGCCGTCTCTGATCCTGTGAAGGCATGGCGTCGCAGTGGGGGGAGTGCGGGAGTCCCGTTTCTCGGAGATGCCACTTTCTCTTTAGCCAGTAGTGTTGGGCACGTGCGAGCCATACGGGGTTTTGTTTTGTACCATGCCTTGATGCGCAAAGTTGTGCAGATGATCCAAGCGTTTTGTTCAATGTTGACTCCAGACAAAGGCGTGCAGATGGTTTTGGTCTTCCTTGGTTCCATATTAGCTTGCATCCTGAGCCTTGAGAGTCGCATGCTGCGTTTCTCTCCCTGCCTGGGTAGTCAGCGCAGGCGAAGCCAGCAGCCAGCAAGGCGTGACACAATGGGTCTAAACAGAGGCTGGGAGGTCGTTTGCGATGTGCAGGTGGGCATCAACCTTTCCGTGAAGTGGATGAAGAATCCGCTTCAGGTAAGTGAGGCTGGGTTCTGTTCTTGCTGATGTATATGTACGTGTATGTGAAATACAAATATTTGTATACACATATGTTACATGATGTTATATTATATCATAATGCATTATATGAAATGCAAACAAGAAGTACAATGTGAAATTCTCTCTCTTTCTCTTTCTTTCTTTCTCTCTCTCTCTCTCTCCTTTATTATTATTATTATTTCGTTCTCTCTCTCTCTCTCTCTTTCTTTCTCTCTCTCTCTCTCTCTCTTTCTCTCTCTCTCTCTCTCGCTTTCTCTCTCCCTCTCCCTCCGTAAAAACATGCACAGGTATCTAACTATCTATCATTCAATCAATCAATCAATCAATCAATCTATCTATCTATCCATCCATCTATCTATCTATTTGTCTGTCTATCTGTCTGTTTGTCTGTCTGTCTATCTATCTATCTATGTGCGGGGGCAAACTTTCTGAGAATGGGCCGGGTAGTTCTGCCCTTGCAGGCAATCGCCGCCATTCCGCGGATCCAGGCCTGCGATGCTGCTAGCTTTGCGTCGAGCTTGTCACGCCTTCGATCCTTTGCAGGAGTACCTGGGCTTGGCAAAGCCGATCGAGCGTGCCTGGCTCCCATGGGTGCCCAGCCTCGCTTGCCGACTTTCTCTTGGTGAGGTCAAGACCTACGATCTGGCCCCCTCCAATCGTGCCATTGTGGAGGAGCGCGCTGGAAGCCACAGCAATTCGAGTCGCGGTGTTCACGCGGGCAGCTTATGAATGCCCGACCAGAATTCGCGCTGGGGCTCTTACGGGAATAAGCAGGCTGTGACTGTGAGAGATGGCCTCCACTGCTTGCGGTGGGTGGGCTGTCGACTTCGAGCCAGGAGCTTGTCAGGCAGTCCAGCCGGCCAGATCAAGGCGGCTATTCTGTCAAAGAGCTGGTGGTGGGAATTGGCAACAAGGAGTCCCGGAATCGTCAACAGTTCCTTGTGAGTTTGTTCCCTGTTTTTTGGTTGGGGGGAGGAAGCTGTTTCTACCCGGGCCGGGTGCAATCACCTCCTACTTTGGATTCACCACCCCGCCCAGTCATCAGAATTGGCTATACTTTAACGGGGCATCGTATGCCTCTTGGTGATGCCTCGGGTACAGTCACGGCCAATAAAGGTTCAGTCACCGTCGCTTGTGTGTGTGTGAGCCTCCCCACATGATCACGTTTCTGGGAAAAGCAGCCTGCTCGTTCTGAGTTTTGTTTGGAGGCAACCCCCTTTTTTGTGGCTTGGGGAACCAAAAGGAACACCGTTGCGCCATTTTGGGGGGGGCAATCATGAAACAAGAAGAGCCCCTCTGAGGCAACTCTCCCGCCTAGGAGCTGGCTTTTGTTGACATGGACTGGCTCCGCGGAGTCGCAGATGACTTTAGAGGCATCGTGAGAGTTGTTAGCAGATTCCCCGGCTAAACCATGGAAGCAGGATGGTCTTTTCTTGCAGCGGTTGCCCAATCAAGCCAGAACGTGCTTGGACTCAAAAGGCATGCGCCTAGCTTTCCCCCCGCAAGTTTGGCGTTCCCTGAGCCTGTGACAGGAAGCTTGCACATTGCTGTGGGCAACGAGCCTGATCGGAGCGGTGTCTTCCAGGCCAGTTGCACATGAATGTGCCAATAGGTATCACTCTGATGGGTGGTGTCATGTTGGTGTCATTTTGAATGGGACCACAAGGTGATTCCTGGTTGTGACCGCGCCATGTCTTTCTTTTTCAAAATGAGGATCGGGTGGTGGATGTCATCAAGGCGATCAAGGCTGAGATTCCCGAGGCGCAGGCTGGATTCCAAGTGTCGCTCAAGCGAGCTCAGACCCTATGCCATGGAGCGAGTGCGTGGCTGCATGTGCGGACCGGACTCATTGCGAAGCGGAAAGCTGACCTAGGTCACTGTTCCATTTGCATACTCCATCATGCATCGCAGCCATCCAGTGGAGAAGTCCAAGCTGGAGAAAGAGTTTATTGATCGGTTCCTTGATGGCACAACCCTGCAGGAGCAAGTCGGTCAGAATATCAAGCAGTTTGTATCAGTCCATCGTCAATTTGGGGAGGGGCAGGAGGATGCTCACTAGATTTCCCGCAGCAGCAGGGAACACCAACTTTCCAGTATCCACAAAATCCACATATTTTGACCGTGGCTCAATTGGTCAGTGCCTGATCCTGCCTGGGGGCTTACGAGGCCATTCCACCAAGGTACAAAGATGTCCTTCCCCTCCTGGATTACTTCACCATCAACATCTATCCCTTCCTCAGCTCTGGCACCAGAGGTGTCGCCATGGACAACCTCACAGGCCCTGAGATGAACTTCCTCAACGACCAGATCTCTGCTTTGCGCAGTTTGGTCGAAATACTGTCCTTTTCCTTTTTGTGCCTATGATTTGTTACAAGGGTGGAGAAATGGCAGCTGGCACTGTACACGACTTGAGATGCCCCTGGTGAAAGGGAAGGGCAGCCACCATCCAAGGCATAGCATTGGACAGGGACTTCCCACACAACAACCTGCCGCTGGCTGTAGGACCCCAGACGTGTTGGTATGTGCGTGTGGTTGTTTGTTTCTGGATGTTGAGCTTTGTGGCTGTTGTTGTTTGGTTGGCTTCTTGTTTTTTCTTCTGGCCAATTTGTTTGTTTGTTTGTTTGCTTCTTTTTGTTTTGTTTGTTGCTTGTTTGTTGATTGGTTTGGTTGGTCCTGCTCTGCTGTCGGTGCAGCTGGGGCTTTTACGGATGGTTCTTCCATACGCTCGCGTTGCAGGAGAAACCGGGTGGCCAAGCTGCGGCGCCGCCAGCTCCACGCCTTATTCTTACGCGACGCTGCCCTTCTCAGAGCGGTTCGTGAAGAACGTGGCGCTGTGGAGCCTTTGCAATGGGTTCACTTGAGCCACGTGCTCAAAACAAAACCCGGGTAGATGAAGGTTAGTAAGGGGCAGTCCCAGCCAGAAATAGCTGCGGCCGCCTTCTGAATTCTTTGCATGGTTCTGGGTAGACCATTTGACTACCGGGTTTTGATTCTGACTCGCTTGGGTATAGCCCGTGGATAGTGTGAAGTCCTCACGTGCTTTTGTTGGCTCGAACACCTGCTTTGTGTTCAGGATGGAATCCAGCCTCTCAGATGGGCGCATCATTTCCGGGCAGCTATTTACTGCGTTCGACGAAGAGACGAAAGGAACAAGCGCCTCAGCCGAAGTGGGAGTACAGGATCAGGAAGTTGACTTTAATCCATCGCGCCGTTCCGGTTGAAGACAGGCACTCCGTGACAGTTGCGTTTTATTAAACCTCTTTCGCAAGAAGTACTTTTGCACGCGACACTGGCAGCAGCAAGCCGACGCGTGCGTTTCTTGCAGTGATTCTTGTATGTGGAGCTCGTGTTTTCGTGCTGTGTTGTAGAATGTTTGGCGCAGGTGTTAGCCACGCGCCAAAGACATTGTACAACTCAGCTCCAAAGCACAAACAAGACTACGTAGCTCCTCAAATCTGCATGGTGTCAGCTGGCCATGAGTGCGGGGCTCCTGGGGCATTCACAGGGAGTCCTTTTTCCACCGCCTTCGTGTCCCACTGGAACTTGCATGTTTCTCGGAATCTGAGGACCTAGCGAGCGCTACTACGGCATTCTGACGTCAAAGGGAGAGGTGAAGACTGCATACTCATGTGTCAGCAATGCCACTGAGCCTTGGCAAGTCAAGCATGCTGGCTGGAGAACTCCACAAGGGTAGGAAAAGGGGCTTTCGGTGCAGCCTTTTGGCTTGCAGCGTTGAATTTTGAACGGATCGCAGCATTTGACCTTGAATGCCAAGGAGCCATCTCAAGCTTGGCTAGAGGAGCTTTACCCTGATTGCGAGAGCTGCTTGGCTGAACTCGGAAAGTAGAAACTGCCCCCATGCAGTTCATGGGATGTGCACGGCCACAAAAGTACACAAGGTCTCCACGGGTCTCCTCACTTGAGGTGATTTGGATTGGATGGTAAAGAACTTCGACAACCCGTATCTTCAAGAAAAGTTTGCACCGTGGCAGCGCATGGCCAACCAGTTGATGAATTCATGGTGACTCCAATAGCATGTTGCGCCACTCACTAGCGAAAGCGACGGGGATTGATGCCCTCGACTGGCCTAGGTCAATAGGGCGGGGAGCTCAGTAGCCGTGCCTGAACGAGTAAGCTGATGTTTTGGGCATGGCCTGTCATGCCAGTTGCTGCAGTTCCTTTGTTAGGCCCCTCTGTCGTGTTGCGGATTGGATGCCTCGGGAGGAAATGGACGGCTCCCTGTGCTCCTTCCAGCAATATCTCTACGATCGCTGGGCATCCTGCCCGCCAACTGCGCGGATTCCTGGGGACTTTGTGCCAGTGGAATCGTGGCTCGGCTGGAAGGAACCTCAAGCTCTGGGTAACTGGGAATGACAAGAAACAGGGCCAGACGTGGGACTTTCTTTTAGGGGACCCCCCCAAAATATGCAAAATTGCGTCTCGTCCTCTTGCTTTCTCTTTCAAAACTACAAGAAGAAGCGAACCCTCAAAGAGAAGAGTCACATTGAAGCTTCTCGCGAGGCACATGGTCTATGCAAAGAAAATGGCGCAGACCAAATGCTGGAGCCAGCGCTTGGCTGACAAGCCACTGACTCAGCGAAGCCATGCGTTCGGCCAGGCGTTTGTCCATGGGTTGCCTGGTATATCTTCCCTTTCGCCATGCAAATTCGTATGGGATCTGTTCATCATTATGAACTACTTTGGACAAGATGGACAAGCACGCCGTTTGTGTGCGCATGTTTGTGGGTGAGCTGCTGGGTTTCACACACCCCAGGTATTCCGACCGCGGTGCCGTTAGCAAGCCCAACGTTTCGCACCTGACCGCGCCGCACAACAAGCAGGCAAAGGTGTCGAAAGATCCTAACAGTTCCACAAAAAGACAATAATGGGCCAATATTGGGTGAATACTTGCATGGCACTGGCATAACATAGGCTAACCCAAAACGCAACAGACCTCTACCATCAGATTGTTCTCTTTTGCTGCGTTTCTGGGTGGCTTTTGTGGCTCTGGTGGCTGTGGCTATTTGTGGCTGTGGACTTGGCTTCTGTGGCTCTCATCGTTCCACACTTCTCACCAGCAGCACCCCGGCATCAGCAAGCTGTTGGCTTGAGCTCTGTTAGGCGCGGGGTATCGAATGGTTTTGAGGTCTGTTTTGGGTTGGTCTAGGGTTGCTTTACGGTGGGTCTGAAAGTCGGTGAAGTTTCAGGCAGCTGATTGCCGTTGTGGTTGGGGGTGGTTTTACGACGAGATCAAGATGGGTTTCTGGTGGTTTTAGGGTTGGTGTAGGGCTGGTTGTAGGGTGTGCGTATATACTTGCTGACAAAGTGAGAGATGCCCGAACATACGGTAAACATCAGTATTTTTTACCCACCCCAACACACAAGGATCAACCGACACAAGGATCAACCATCCCAAATCAGTGCCGTACCCTTTCCACGTATGGGTCAAAGTCTGTCGCAATCTGTCATGTTTGCCCTTTGAAATGACGACGCCAAAAGTTGTTGCATCAAAGGGGTGCTAAGATGACACTTGCCGTCGTTGAAGAAAAGGCGAAACATGCAAACCATCAACCTGCGATCGCTTCGTGCCTTCGCGCAGGCGCCGTCGGATCGCTGGGACGCGAGCTCCTCGGAGGTGAGTCCACTACCGGACCGCTTTGTGGCTTGGCACGGGGTGAACGGGTGAGAGGCCCAGCCCGAAACGGGAGGCTTTGCCAAGGAAAACGAACCAAAAGGACCAGGGGAAAAGCCACATGCACGCCTTTGTCAAGATCTTGCACCAGCTGATTTGGAAGACACCCCATTTGTGGGTTACGTCTGAAAGAGGCCATGGCCATGCTCAGGTTGGAGAGGATCCAACGCCACCGGGTCCAAGCACACCCAGGACCTTGCAGGACCTTGGGCTCGGGATGGGGGCGACCTGGCGGTTTTCCGAGCCGTTGGACATGGCAAGATGCCAGCTGAGCTCACACAACTGGCTCGAACAACTCCCTCCAAAAAAGCTTTTGGTGGCTGTAGCTACAATCTAGATGTTCGAAGGCTTCGCCCCACACCAGCTGCACTGGCAAGACAGATGCAGATAGAGACAGACAGAGAGAAAGAAACATTGTGCAAGGGGAAGGTCCGCACCAAGTGGCCAAGAGCAAACAAGCAGAAGTACAAAAGCAAGTGCAACCGAAGTAAAACTATCGAATCCTAAATGCTAACAGATGCCACTGGTTGCTTTTGGACACGACGATCACGGGATTGCCCAGACAAAGCAAGCGACCTTGTCCACCGTACAGCCAAATGCACCCGAAGACCAATGCTTGCACTAATCAGTAGGACTTGATACTACAAATTTGCAGGAAACTGCCAACAGCAGCCTATTGCATGTTTAGAGTCACAATTGAATTCAGAGAGAAGCCAGGCACACCCGCACTCCTGTATAGCCAAGCGCTAGTGGGATTCAGTTTGAAACAGATCCCAAGCCCGCTGCAAAGCTCGAAAAGTTTGAACAGGTAGCAGCAGCCTCGAAATACAACCAATTCAGAAAACACAACTTAACTCACGTTGATTGAGCTAATGACCACCCAAAGGTGCCAGCCCTTTTTTGAAGCAGGGATCCGCGAGGTCTTCTGGATCAACCTGGAGCAGTCGAAAGACCGTCGCACGGCCATGGAGAAGATGTTTTCATCTCTTCGTCCACCGCCTGAGATCGATCGCTTGCGCACGCCAGTGTCATGTTTTTTGAAGGGGGGCGCCTTCAAGAGGGGTGGTTTGCCTTGGATCCCTCTTTGAAACAAAAAAGGGGGACCTTCAGATAAAGGCACACCCATATGCGATAACCAATGGTTTGCTTGCTGCTGATAGGCAGCCCCATTATTGTTGATGCCCTGATGCTTGTGCCTCAGGGCAGACCCTGCCGGCAAGCTTGACGCTGCAAGTCGTGCGGGTACCAGCAGTCACTGCAGAGGAGGTCAAGGCCGCCGATACGCTTGGCATCGCTATCGATGTGGGTTTGCTGCTGTTTGTTCCCGGGAAGGAGGGGGGGCATTCGTAAATGGATTCCATTGTCATTTTTTGGGATCACACCGTTCTGTGCTGCAGGCCATGCAGCAGAAGGGCGCTTTGGCGGTTGAAGCCAAACTGATTGATGCCTGTACGGATGCGTGCCCGCAGCATCATGCCAGGCAGGGCTGCGAGCTGTTGGAGTATAACGATTTGTTTGGTTTGGTTTGTTGTGTGTGCTTGCGTGCTTGCGTGCGTGCTTGCTTGCCTGCTAGCTGGCTGGCTGGATTGCTTGTTGCATTGCTTGCTTGCCATGCTGGCTTGCTGAGTAGCTGCATTGCTTGCCTGCCTGCCTGCCTGCCTGCCTGCCTGCGTGCTTGCCTGTTTGCTTGCTTGCTTGCTTGCTTGCTTGTTGCATTGCTTGCTGAGTTGCTTTGCACGCTTGCTTGCCTGCTTGCTTGCTTGCTTGCTTGCTGGATTACTTGTTGCGTTGCTTGCTTGCTTGCTTGCCTGCCTGCCTGCTTGCTTGCTTGCTTGCTTGCTTGCTTGCTTGCTTGCTTGCTTGCTTTCTGGATTGCTTGTTGCGTTGCTTGTGCTTGCTTGCTTGCTTGCTTGCTTGCTTGCTTGCTTGCTTGCTTGCTTGCTTGCTTGCTTGCTTGCTTGCTTGCTTGCTTGCTTGCTTGCCATGCTGGCTTACATGGTTGCTTGTTTGCTTGCTTGCGCTTGCTTGCCTGTTTGCTTGCGTGCGTGCGTGCTTTGCTTGTGCGTGAGTCCGTGCATGTTTGCTTCTGGTTGTCTTGCTTTCTTGATTGCTTGCTTGCTTGCTTGCTTCGGCGTGCCTGCGTGTTTGTTGCTGCTTGTTGGTTTGCGTGCGTGCTTGTTGCTTGTGTTTTTTTCTTGTTTGATTGCTCGTTTGTGTGCGTGTCTTCTTGTTTGTGCGTCTGTGTGTCTGTGTGTCTGTCTGCCGGCTGTCTGGCTGGCTGTCTGGCTGTCCGGCTGTCTGTGCCTATGTCTGTGTCTGTGTCTGTGTCTGTCTCTGTCTCTGTCTCTGTCTCTGTCTCTGTCTCTGTCTCTGTCTCTGTCTCTGTCTCTGTCTGTCTGTGTCTGTCTGTCCGTTTGTCTGGTGGTTTGTTGCGGTGGATGCTGTGCAGGGCAAGTAGGGAAGCACCGCGGTCCCACAGTGTGTCGGTTCCGCTTATTTTCCGCACTGGGAGGAGCGAGCTGCTGTACACAGAGATGGCTTGCAGCCTTTCTCACTTGCGCGCCATCGAGCAGGCTTTGGCAGGCCTTGGGTTCGTCCAGGGGTTGCAGGTTCAACCAGTGGCCTGTGTCTGCATTTCTTTGGCGGGGCCTTATAAATGTGGGGGCTATTGGGGGCATGCATGCTGCCAGGCAATTCCGGCTTGGCCCTGATGATGGAGGA